ATGAGAACAAAAAGGGGAAAAAATTAAAAAAAAAACACCAAAAAATATATAGTTTTTTTTTTTTTTTTTTTTTTTTTTTTTTTAACCATGACAATGGTAAATCAAAAGTTAAGAAATTTGCCACGATAATTGACAAACGATAAGATAAATGCCCACATGTAGCCGGCATCAAAACACAACAGACTTTTTGTCAACATGATGTGTTAAAATGTGAATAATGTGATTAGGTAAACAGTACAATACCATTTCCTCGTGTATCTTGGATGATGGTTAGTTCAAACACAGCATCACTCACCCAAATCTGCGTATGATGGCGCTTTGTTGCCAGAGCCGCACCACAGAGTCCCGGGGACGATAAATCCGCGCTTTACACGCGCGTGAATCCTAACCTCTGACCTTTCACCTTCACCTTGATCTCCGAGGCTCCTCACGTGTCTCCCCGCTGTGTGCTCCGGGAGATTAGCAAAGCTCGGAGAGGCCAGAGAGACGCACCGATCCGCGTCAAACAAAGACTCCAGATCCAACGTTTTCTCCGCGGGGTCGTTAAATTCCCGCACGCGCCCCCGACACGCAGACAGGTAGCTCTGGATCAGCGCTGCGTCATCACTCCAGGTGCAGCCGAGCAGGGCGCGCTCCCCGGACCAGACGCCGTGGTATAGGCGCGGTGCCGCGGCGCTGCCGTGCGGATCCCCCCGGAGGAAGCTGACGTGCAGTTGGCCGCTGGAAGAAACTTTGGTCCAGCTGCAGTGGGTGGAGGCTCGCGCGGCAGTGCAGCCCAGGAGAGCTGATGTTACAGTGAGAGCCAGGAGAGCGGAGATGTGCGTCATCTTGGCGCATCAATGGAGCTGCGGCCGGATGAGAGAGAAAGAGAGGCTGTTTGACTAACTCTGCAGCAAAGTGCTAACTTCTGCCTCTGAGAGGTTTTTCATTCATTTGCAGAGTCCAGGTCGGTTTTAAATGTGAAGGCGAAAAAGAACAGGAGGAGGAGAGGAAGGTTTCCCGGTGGATTAACAGTACATCCAGATCAGACACGTGACCAGGCAGCGTAGCCAAAACACTCCCCATCTCTCTGCCCCACATTTACAGCCACAATATTAGTGAGGACACACACACACACACACACACGTTTTTAACTGTAAATCTGACTAATGCATCAGTGCTGCTCAGACTCACCCCTAACATGCTGAATGGAGATGTGATCAACTAAACTATTGATTTTTACACAGACACTTCTGGACTTGTCTTCTCTGCTGTGTTGAATCAACCTGAACATGTCAGATGTGTTGTGAAAATCCAGAACAGTCGTAACTCTATTGTTAGGCAACTAATGAGGGCCGCTTTGTTTGGCTGAACCGCGCACGCGTGCGCACGCGTACACACACACACACACGCGTACACACACACACACACACACACACACACACACACACGGTGCGTACCGGGATGATCCGGTGTTGAAACAGGTGTTACGCCAGTTTCCATTACCACATTACTATGCTTTAGACCTGGTTTGATATATTTTGTCATGAGTTTCTAGTTATCTTCTTCTTTCAACCATTTTTTTCCTCTGAATTAGAATTTTATTGTCTAAATTATACTCACCATTTGAGAACAAGGGGCACATATTGTCTAATTTAAAACATTCAGCAAAAATAAAACAGAAATTCAGTAATAATAAAATAAACACTATTTGTAAAGTAAAATCTAACAAAGTGGACACAGGATGGGTGATGCCAGCCAGGTGCCAGGATGTTTTCAAGTGTATAAAATGGTTTCATTACTCATCTGCTGGATGTCAAAGTTCAATATTTGACCAATATGGATCTAATCTGAGATGATATTCTTCTAAGCAGTTATTAAAACAGAAGTGACTAAGTCCAGACCTTGAGAGATTCCACCCTGCAGCTTTTAGGTCCTTCTCTTCCCCACACACCTGAATCAGATTCCCTCTTCTTCTTCTTTTTTGATGTTTATTGGCTGTTGTCAAACACCAACTGGTATGGAGCGTGGACCAGAATGTCAGAATCCCTCATCAGCAGCCATTGCCTGGTATCAACCATTCATTTGGTTCAGGTGTGTGGAAGACTATAATATCACCACTGCACCCAATCATCCAATAAGAAAGCAGTTGTAGGGAAGTCATCGTCCAATCATTGTGTAGTTGCTTCAGGGTTCTTTTGGCTGACATATTTGCAGTTTTAGTTCTCTTCTTGCAATTTTTTAAAAAGGTTTCCTACTTTGTTGAAAATAAAATGTACTTTTTGTGACTAAATGTTATTTCACATCTTTTAATCTGTTCGCACCTTTACGATCCAAATGTGTTTAATTCACGTACAACCTCCTTCTGGGGACAGACGCCTTTTTTCAATTTGCAGTTATATCTCGTTTTATAGACTTTCTTGGTTCTATACATAAGCTTTTCACCTGGGCTACATCTAATCAGATATTCTTCATGTCTCGTTCACTTTTGATTTTGCATATGCTTTTGTTCCGCTTGAGCGACATGCTGAACTTTAGTTTCATTTAATTAAACACATTAATTAATTAGCCTGGTATTATCGGGCGTTTCTGCGGGATCAATACCTGAATTTATTTGACTGCAGATTCAAGGTCAGACGGAGTCAATCAGGCATGTGACCTTTCACCCACTTGGAGGGAAAGTGCATTATCAAGAAAGGTCAAAATCCACTTGATTCTCATCTGCGTGTCTGCATCAGCTGATTGGATTAGACGTCGCCTGATTCAGACAAAGTTTATGCCATGTCACAGGAAAAAAAAAAAAAAACACTATTCCAAATCAAGTGCCATCATGTCTTTATTAATTAGCCACATGTATGCAACAACATGGGTTCATACATGCATCAGCAGCAATACAGGGAGAATAAGCAGCTGGAAACATTTTACCTGACTGTAAAATATAGAGTTAGATCAGAACAGGAATATTTCATTATGTTTTATTGAACCATTGCTTGGTCTAATTTAGTTTTATGATCATTTCATAGAGAAGGTCCTTGCAGAAGCGTTACTTTTGCCCTTTGAATTTCTCCAGCAGAAAGGCAGACTGCTAGCACATGCACAGAGAAAGGTTTTAGCTGCGTGGAGCCAAAAGAGTTTCTACAGCGGTATATTAAAGCCATTGTAGATAGAAAAAAAAAGAGTAAATTTCCATCAAAAACTTCATGTTTGCAATTGCAACTCAGAAATGTGCGTGTTTTCCCTAGAACATTCTGAGATTAATTTCAAATTTCAGCAACTTTTTGACTTCTCAAAATCAGAAATGATCTTGTTCTTTTTTGTTTTGTTTTTCCAAGCAAATTTCTTAGATTAATTTTCAACTTTTCAAACTCAGAAATTTCATGTCAAATTTCTAAGATTAATTTGATCATTTCTGATTTGTTGACTGGATTGTACTGTTCTCTTTTTCTCTGTCTACAACAGCCCTAATACGCCGTCATACATTTCACGCCCACAAATAAAAATGTATTATGTACTATATGCGACGCACAGTGGCACTACCCTACAGAGGGCGCCAAAACGATGGCGAAAAATTATTCCAGGTCGAGAACGTTCTGGGCCCCGACTTTTTTCGTCCACTTGAATTGTGTTGTCGTCTGATGACAGCTAGCTTCGTTGTCTGACCGCAAATAAAAATCAAAAAGGCAGCTAGCTAAAGATGGAGAGGCGTAAAAGAAAGGCAGGAAGGAAGGTCAGGAAACAAAAAAAAAGAAAGAAAGAAAGAAAGAAAAACGAAAGAGGGAGAAGAACAAATATGTTGTAGGGATGAAAAAAGCTTTTCAAAGTGGTTGACAGACAGTAGGTAAGTTATTTCAGTCTATCAAGAAAAGGCTTGTAAATATTCAGGTTAGCTAACATTACTAGTAAAATGACAGGTCACTGTTAGCTTGCCACTGTGTGCTACAAACTGTCTGCATGTCAGAAAGTTCACAACTGGGCTCTTGTCCACAACTTTGTTGATTCAGTCTCAAATTCATAATTTAACATATGCAAAACGCAGGGTCGGTTGGCACAATAACACAAATAAAATATATATAGAGACATATATATTTTTGCTTGCTTTGTTTTGGACGACGCACACACCAGAATTACATTACACATCAGCTAATAAAATGTGATTAGATACATCAGGAAAGCCGACCTCTTCACCCAGCAATGACGTGGTCGCCAGAATGACATGATCGGGTGGGAAAAGGTCAGACAGACGACCGGGAATTCCTTCTGTTGAGTCTGAGCATCTGTGCACACTTCAATACAACACTCTCACCTGATAACAGTGATAACAAAGACTTTATCTTCCCCGAGAATTATGATAAACGCTCAGTTCAGAGGCTCCTTTATCATGTTTTATGAGGTGTGATACAATTAGCTTCCTGGATTAGTTTAGGAGGACTGGGTGGGTAGGTGATGGGGTCGGGATAGGGGAGGGGGGTACTTTAGATCGACATCCATGTTTGTCACGAGAAATTTAAAATTCACATTGGACTTCTGGGGAAAACTCCATACGAACACACGGAGGAATCGGTCTAACTTTTGAAACTGAAAAATAACATTTAGCAGAGAAATTATCAAATAAAGAAGCAGATAACTGAATCATTACAGCGTGAACTAATCCTCAAACTGGACAGTATTGTCATTAAGCAGGACATGCCAGCGCTCAATCTTCTTGTCTTTGTTCTTGAGGCATTCGTACCAGTGTTTCAAACTCTCTCCTTTAGCCTGGATGCCTAGCTGACATCCCCCTGAAAACAAGAGACAGGAGAACAAGAACAATATGGTAATTTATACAGAAATGCTTCCATTGATGTTGTACTTCTACTTGTTTTAATCTCATATTTATTCATTTCATTATTTTTATCCATTATAATTGCTTGTTTTGGCGGGTTTTTATCAGTGTTTTCATGGGAGTGTTTAACTGCCAGAGTTTAGAAATAAATTCAGGAGCAGGTTTCTTCTTAAAATGAGATGTGTTGGTTTTAATAAATCTAGTTAGAGCAAGTTTTTTAATCTCATTAAAACCAAAACGTTCTCTTGTTTTAACAAGTTTTGCATCAACGACAAGGTTTTCTCGTCTAAATGAGTTTATTTCCTTAAATGCTTCTGCATGTTTTTTGCAAACAAGCTAAAAATATTTTGTCTTTTCCGACCACCTCACCATTAATGATATTCTCATCATAGCCTCAGATAACAGACTGATACAGATTTCTCCTCTCAGAGGCAAAGACACAACCTCAGATCAGATAGTGAACATGCGTCTGTGCTTGTGCTATTAGACCTCAATGCTGCTTTTGATACAGTGGGTCTCAGTAATAAAGGTGGGGTTTGACTAGTTTAGATCATTTTCCTCATAAAGTGCTGTCCTGGTGCAGATTTATTAAATAAATCTGTATTTCAGTTCATTCATGTCTGTTTTTTGTTTGTTTTTTTAAATAAAGAAACGTTTTAAGTCAGTTCAGCACTGTTTTTCCGTATCGGTTGATACTAAACCTCAAATATTGGTATCGGTATCAGAAGTGAAAAAATGGATTGATGTATCTGTAGGATAAACTCTGATTGCAATTTCTTGTACCAATTTGTGTCAAAGTACAGTGATGCAGCTTATGGTCATTGTAACGAATGTTAATGGATGATAAACTATACCAGAAGTTATCACAATACATGATAATATTGTTGCTATGAGACTATTTTCAAGTATCATAGTAATGGCCTAAAAATAAAAGAACACATTCTGAAAGATCAGTAAAGTTCACATTCTAATGAACATTTCATTCTGGAGCTGGAAGACACTTTAAATATCCAAAAGAAATACACAAAACAACAAATAAAATGAATTATGAAGTCTCTGTATCAAATTGGTCAAAGCACCAGACTGGAGAGTTTTGTTATTCAGTCTTTGATAGAAAGAGAGAAAAGAGAAAAACATTAAATCATGCAAATGAAAATTTTTTAGTTGGTTTTAATTCATCGTACCAGTACTTGATTTGTTGCTTATAAAACCAAGACAAGCCTGAC